TGCCGGAGGAGGGCAGGGGGAGGGGGATGTAGGGCTGAGGTCACCGTCGCCATGGTGACAAAACAGGAAGACACAACAGCTGGCGGAGTCGGGGCTCCTGGGGGCTGCCCTCCCCGACTCAGCCTCCGCGCACCGTCTCCAGGGGAGACCCGGGAAGGCCGTTGCCATGGCAACCCGCCTGTTTAGGGTTTGTTTAGCACCGAGACCCTCAGCCCAGGTCCCCACCCGAGTCTCCCCCCACGCCCTTCTCCTTCTGCCTCCCTGCCCACTCCCTCCCCCACCCGCGCCAGCCCGGCTTCCCAGGAATGGACGGAACCTTGGGCATCTGGGTCGCACGCCGCGGGCATGGATGGCCACCCGGGCCTCCGTGCAATGCAGCGGTTCTCAACCTCGGCGGCCCAGGAGAATCGTCTGGGAATCTTTTTTTAAAATCCTGATTTCTGGGCCTCATCCTCCGGAAATTCAGTTTCTTTCTTACTCATGCTGTGGCCCCACCCCATCACAAAGAAACAGAATTTTTCGGAGGATGAGGCCCAGAAATCAGGATTTTAAAAGAAGATTCCCAGACGATTCTCCTGGGCCGCCGAGGTTGAGAACCGCTGGTTGAATGGGATCTGCGGGCTGTCTCTGGCTCCTGGGGCCTCGGAGGACGAAGGCGGTGCCGATCCCGAGGCTTCAGGAAGTTTCTGGGCTGAGGTCCCCAACTCCTGGGTCCCCCCCAAAAGAACAGGGGCTGGATTTCTATACTTCAGGATCCGAGGGTCGCCGAATGGTTCTTGACACTGGGGCTCGCGGTGCTAGGACCGGGGGGAGGGCTGGAGCCCCGGGTCCCAGATGGCACCGTCGGGGAATGTTCCGTGGGGGAGCGGAAGTCTGATCTCCACGACTCTTCCCATTCTCTCCTAACAGCAAGAATAGGGAGAGACCTCCCCTGCCGCCCAGAGGAGCCCTCTGTCCTTCCTCCCAGGCAGGGCCTGGCACTGACCTTTTATTATGAAGTATACTCACACTGAATTATATTGCCATTTGTTTTGCTTTTTTCCTTCCCTTGCTTCCTCTCTCCCCCCTCCTTCCTTCCTCTTGCTAACTTGGTGTCCAGTTGCAGCTTCCGCTCTAATTCCCCTCTCTTCTCCTCACCCCTG